AACTCGAGGAATTTGAGTAAGAACATGGTACATCTTTTTAGTGCTGTGCTGGCAACGTGATCTTTGCTAGATATTTTATATTGTCATGATTATAACAATACGATCTTCATATATACTTAAAGAAATTAATGATCAAAAAAAGGGAACCGTATCAAAAGAAAAGAATGAATTGCTTTTCTCCAATTTCAATATCAATTACAATAACTTACCAGAAATGTATCGAAAAGGATCAGTGTTAATAAGGGAGGAGGTAATTATCTGATAAAATTTGATTAATTTTCCTCAGTTCAATCATATAACAATATGATTGTAATCAATTAGGTCGAAATTAAGACAATGAATAAACAAGGAATAGAAATCATACGACGGAAGAAAACGGTCACAGTTCTACACACGGATATTATAGGAGAGAGATTCTGGAAGGAACACCCAGAAATTGAAATCACCATTGTTTAAACAAGTTTCGAAAAATACAATAATACAATTGTAAATATGTATATGTTACTAACACCATTATTCTGGTAGTTCATTGACATCTTGTGTCGTAGTAGTTGTATTAATATTACCTTCATTATTATCCTTTTTAATAGTTGAAGGAGGAGAATTTATTTCTACCTTTTTTTTACCTTTCTCTTTTCCCGTCTTGCTACCACCACCACCTTTTTTATTATCTTTCTGTTTAATATCAGCCTCTTTTTTCTTTTTTCGGGAGCTCTTTAATACAATTGTTTGCATTTCTGGATTTGCCACAACTTTGGCTGCCAACACAGTTTCATCAAACTTTCGCTCGCGTTGCTTGATCTGTGCAACCTGCGCTTTCTGTTGGTCTTTTATCGATTTGAGTTGTCCGACACGACGTTTGAGCAACTTTGATCGCGAAAGCATCATTAACATGGTACTTCGAATGTATTGCAATTTGGTGGTGTATTCCGGAATTTTAGAAAACTTTCGATTTCGTGGGCATGGAGGAGAGAATGATTATCACCATCATTAAACAATAAGTGACAGCGATTTAATTCGTAATAATAAGCCTACCGTCAATGCGATATATTCGTAATTTTCTTGATTTTCTATGTGTTTACTCGTGTTTTTTATATCATCAAGGAGGTATTGTTGCTTTTTTCTTTTTAACCAATGATACGAATATCAAAATATCTAGCAAAGATCACGTTGCCAGCACAGCACTAAAAAGATGTACCATGTTCTTACTCAAATTCCTCGAGTT